ATTTTCTCTCTCTCTCTCTCTCTCTCTCACTTTCTCTCAGGGTTGAGTCTGGTGGTGGGGTTGGTGCTGTATATCTCCAGTATCAATGATGAAGTAATGAACAGGCCGCGGGAGCCAGAGCAGTTCTTCAACTACCGCTACGGCTGGTCCTTTGCATTTGCTGCCAGCTCCTTCCTGCTCAAAGAGGTCAGAGGATGAAATTTCAGTCCAAAATATCAGTGCCTTTTTTGGTTGTCATTTTTTGCTCAAGAGTAAATTCAAGCCCCTTGGCCTTGAATGGCCAAGATGTAGTCATATTTCTTGTGAAAGCTTCAATGACTTGAACGTATCCATTCTTCTAGACTCGAGGGGCTTAACAAATGATGGTACTGTAATTATGTCACTTGATGCTGCTGAAGCAGATGCTTTTAACATGACCCTGCTTTGACATACACTTCAGTTGAAGGCAGGAGCTTCGAATGTGCTCTTTATGTATTATGAATGTGAAGCTTCAGATGTGCTCCATTTTAGTTGCTACTCAGGGTCTGAATACTGTATTTAGAGCACTTAATCATATTGTTTCATTGACTGCAATAGGAAAATGTTAAGTAACCTGAGCTCAAGGAGGTCAGTTTAAGAGATTTTCAACATGTATATAGGGTACAACGGGGCTAAAGGCCCACCTTAAGAAAAACATTTGCTATTCACTGTGCCTAAAATGTATAATTGCAGAAAAAATAGATAAAAAATACGTTGTATTGAACATTAATGGAGCAACAGATTTTGTGTGAAAATAAATCATTCAAGTTGTTTATTTTGTTTAAAAATCTTATAAATGTATGAGGTGGCAAGAGGGGCCTTTTACCCCACACACGGGGTAAAAGGCCCACCAGCAAAAAAAATTGTTTTTAATAATGTCTAAGTTAATACTTGTTCAAAACAATCACTTTAGCAAAGTCTGTACTATTTTCTGCTTATTTTGAAAAATAAAATAATCAATTTTTGTTCAATAAATATACTGTCATTAAAATGTTAATATAAATATATATATTTTAAAATACAGAAACAAAATCATTTTAATAAGTAGCCCAAAACTGAAAATCATAAAGAAGACCTTTGTCTCAAAATGTATGCATTGATTTTAGCAATTCTCATTTGCTACTTAAATCTACAACATTTTAAAAAACATAAAATATTAGATCAAGTAAGCACAGAATCAACTTTGCACTGCTGCACGAGATCGCGTCAAGGATCAGACAATTATACACGTGCATCTTGAAAAGCGAATGTTTTGGAAAGTGCTACGCCATGTTTTTATGCCATCTAGTGGTTTAGATGAAAATAATATCAAAGGCCTTTAGCCCCGTTGTACCCTATTTATTTCTTTTTCTTCACATGATAACCACATAAGATTGGGTTTTTAGGTTTTCAGATATTTCTGATTGAAGTGTAGATGTTATCGAGGTGATTATGAAAGTCAGAAGAAGACGAAGTGAATGATGGAGCAGTCAGAGCTGCAGATCTGTCAGCCGTTCTTCTGTGTGACCATAAAGTGAGGATTAAGCAAAATTGAAGTTCAAGCTCTGACTCTTTTTTTTTTCTGCTTGATTCAGCAGGATCCTTTTACTATTATGGTCGCCAAAGGAAACATTAGTTTGTCAGTGTGTGTGAGAGAGAGAATATTAGAGCAAGAGCAAAGAGGAATTGCTATAAAATCACCTTGAAGGCTATATTCACCTCAGGTTTTTCTTCGCTGAATGAAGAGTGTAGTCGCGTAACCACAGAACAGTATTTCCTATGCATTCTGCTGTTATTTCCAACCTGTCATAAATGCTTTATTGATTTGCCATATTTACCCAAAGTAAATAAATAATTAAACACATACTGTACATACATACCTAAATAAATCTGTAATTTCTTTTGTGCATATTTTCAAACTATATATAATAAATGTAAAATTTAAAAACACTTTGAAAAGATGAGATTACTAATAAATGTAAATAAGAAATTATTAATCATTATAAATAACCCCACAGGTCTGCAGCATTATTCCCATAGGCTCACTTCTGATTTTATTAGGATAACCAAATCATCTTCCCATAACTTATCTGTTAATACTCTACTGTTTAAAAGTTGGTATTAGTAAGACCTTTTTATTTTATGTAATAACTCTTATTTATCAATATGTTGATTTAAATTGATCAAAAATTGTCAGTGAAGACTTCTACACTGGTACGGAAAAAAAATATTACAAAAAATATATATATAAATGCTGTCCTTTCCACATTTTCCGCACAAATATTAAGCAGCACAACTGTTTTCAACATTTATAATAATAAAAAATGTTTCTCGAGCACCAAATCAGCGTATTGGAGTGATTTATGAGGATCATGTGACACTGAAGACTGGATTAATGACTGCTGAAAATTCAGCTTCACCATCACAGGAATGAATTACATTTTACAATATATTCAAATAGAAAACATGTATTTTAAATTATAATAATATTTCACAATATTACTGTTTTACTGTATTGTGTTTTACTTGGTGAGCTTAAGAGACTTCCTTTAGAAACATTAAAAAATCTTACCAATCTAATGCATTGTTGAGAAACACAAAGATGTTCGCCAGACAAAAATGTGGTAACACTTTAGTATAGGGATCAATTCTCACTATTAACTAGTTGCATGCATATTATTGCCTATTATTACTATTATTAACATATTGACTGTTTATTAGTACTTATAAAGCACATATTCTGCATGACAATATTCTACATCCCTAATACCTAAACTATTAATAAGCAGCAAATTAGGAGTTTATTGAGGCAAAAGTCATAGTTAATGGTTTGTTAATGTCAAGAATTGAACCTCAAAATAAAGCGTGACCGAAAATGTAAAACAAATTTGTCCTGAACATTTGGAATGTGTCAGTTATGACATCACATCTCTTCTCTCTCTCTCTGTTAAAGGGGTCATATGATGCTTTTTTAAAGATCATTATTTTGTGTATTTGGTGTAACAGAATATGTTGACATGCTTTAATGTTAAAAAACCACATTATTTTTCAAATACTGTACATTATTGTAGGTCCTATATGCCCCGCCTCTCTTAAACACGTCGTTTTCTACAAAGTCCCTCCTTCAAGCGCAGTCTGCTCTGATTGGCCAACTGACCCAGTGCATTGTGATTGGCCAAACACCGCAAGCACTCGTCGGAAATGTAACGCCCCTTACCATAATCGCGAGCTTCATCTTTCAAAATAAATGTAAAGACAGAGCC